CTTTAGAAATTATTTTAAATTTAGTAGGAGTTTATAATTTCTTTTACTATTTGCTCAATCAATTCTATAGAGAAACATTATATTGCAATAGCACCAGAAAGATAAACGATTTTCATAGTATTTTTTTTTTCATTTTTCTAAAAACACGAAGAAAAGATTTACTATTATTTTAATAAAGAACATTTTTTAGCGGAAAAATGAAAATTTTTGACCAAATTAAATTTTTAAAAAAAAAAAGATTGTAAAAACTCACGGGTCAAAACGGTCTGGAATGGGAGAGTCTCACTTAATCGCCTCTATTCTTTGAATAGAGATTCTATTCCTAATCGTCTATTTTCCAGGTGGCCAAAAAAGCCAACTGCCAGGAAACTCCAATACGTGATTTACATGACATACATAATTGAACTCTTATTGTTCATTTGTATTTATCATGTTTAACTGCTTTATTACTTTATAATTACTAAAAATTTTTCATATATATAATTTCCTATTTAAAAAGTGCTCAACCTTTAATATTTTCCAGCTTTTTTTTTTAAGGAAATCAGTTAAAAAGACTAATTGGCTTTCAGTATTACAGTTGTCGAAATAATTTTAAAACTTATTTCATTACGATAGATGTACTGGGGATTTCTGCAAAAATTAAAGTTGACCTGAATTTATTCAAACGAATTACTTTCGCCGAAATGAATGTATCGCTTTGAAGATGGTAGCGATTTAGTGGAATTTTTTTCATTTATTATGACGAACTGAAGATGAATTCACAAAGTTAATATAAAGTTAAAGTTGATAAGTAAAAGTAAATTTTTGCGTTCGCTTCTTAGGACGAATTTTCATTTTTTTTTTTCATTTTTCATTAATTTTCATTGATTTCATATTTCGAAGTTTAATCAAATAATTTAAAAGCATTCACCATTTTTAAGTAAAAGAAATAAAAATAAGTTTGATAAATAATTTTACTTGATTCATCACATTTGCTAATTTCATCGATTTAGATATTATTATTGGCCAAATCGACGTAAAAATTATCTTTTCTGGGGAAAAAATTTTGTTTCTATAAGTAACGAAACTATTTTTATTAACTTATCGTATTTCAATTTTTCAATTTTTAATATCTCAAATTACCTTCACTTTTTACAAATTGATATAAAATTCAGTAAATTTTTCGCAAAAATTAATTATTTACCTAATTGGTGGAAAAGTTCGCAAAAAGATATATAAAGTTACCACTCAGGTAATATTCTTTTCAAAATCTTCCTTATCATTTTCAAAATCTTATCATTATATTCAAGCAAAAATTGGCTTATAATTATAGAAGTTTTTGAACTTTAAATTTATTAATATTCTTTCTTTCTTGATTCATTTATAATTCTTCAAAATGTTTCTTTTTTTTATATGTGCATTGATTATGATAAAATAGAAGGAAAGTAGTTGATTGTTTGAGCGAAATATTGGTGATTGTGGTAATCAAAAAGTTTATGAAATTTCCAAAATTGTGGAATTCCCAAAAGAAAAAACACTTAGATAAGTTAATTAATTAAAGAAATTAATTTATTTATTTTCCACATATCTATGCAATTTAATTATCCATTTTATTACTTTTTGCTTATTATTTCTTCTCAATATTCTATTCCATTTATAACGGAAATAAAAAAATAAACTTCGCTAAAATTCATTAATTTCGACTATACTTAAATATTCTAATTTGAAAATCACTCAAAAATCAAATCAGTTTTTCAGTTGCACATCTTCAGCAGCGATCAGTATCAGTATTCTCCGAGAATTTCGATTATAACTTTTCTGTGCCAATTTTCAATATTCTTTACCATATTTTAATAATGGACGACCTCGCTTATTTTAAAATTTTCTTAGGTACCAATCATAGATTAGGTTGAAATTGGATTGAAATGTTTTAGCAAATTTTATTATCATCGATGATTTATAAAAGTTTAATATTAACGAAAGTTTAAGAAAATATGTCGATTTGTTATCTATTTTATAATATTTATCAGCATAAACTGCAAAAGAAAAAAAGATTAAATTTTAAAAAAATATTTGTAAAGTGATAAAGCTGAAATTCTTGATGAAATAATATGAAAAATTATTGCAGAAATTAGATTGTCATGAAATTCCATTATTCATTATATCGATTCATAAACATTCTTCGAATATCAATCACAACAATACACATTTACACTGGAGCTATCTATAAACAATAAAAGCACCACGATTTTATTGAGGATACTGTGAATGAGGCTTCTGTTTCCGATTAAGCTCGCCCCCGTTGGGCTTATCGGCAATTGCACGCATATTTCTCATAAAAATTTACAAATAATGAAGCAAAAAAAGTTTGATACATAAGCGAACATAAGCATGAACTAAAAGAAACATATAGTTATGGAATTTATAAAAAAAAAAACTTTCGAAAATTATACTCAAAATTTTGCTTGGAATAAATATAACAAGTAGGTCATAACGAGTGCAGTGAGATTATATGCAGGCAACTGAATAGGAAATGATTAAAAGGAAGAGCGCTAATCCTCAAAATAGTTGTGAAACGGAACGAGATCAGAATATTGGAAGGATAGGGTATATGGCTTTATATTTTCACTACTATCTTATAAACTTTTGAAACATTTGCGCTCACAATTCTTTACAACTATCCAAAAATAATTGAGAATTGCACTTGTGTACAACTATCTCTGATTAGAATTGCAAATTTGCATAAATTGTGCTTGAACGGTGGAAAAAATTTTTTTTCTCGACTTCTTGATAAAAATTTGAAATATTCATTTCATCTCGTGATTTTCAGCCATTATAATTGCCATTAAAATTAAAAAGTTATATGTATTCATGCCTTGAAGCAATCGAGTCAAAATTTTTGCATTGCAGCATTTTTTTCTCGGAGCTTTTCTCGTTTCTCGTTAAGGTTCACTCCACTGCCTTATCAAGCCAAATAAATTTTTCATACGGAGCTATTTGGTGATTAAAATAAATATGTGAATTTCTAGTATAACCTAAATGCACAATTGTTTCATTAATAATTTTTTTCATTGTATGACTGAATTTAATTTAATTCAGAAAATAGAAATTAAGCCTATTCTCACCTATATATTGTGGATTTAAATTAGATCGAACGATTGATACAAGCCAATATTATGAATATAAAAATTTTCAAAGTAGTTTCAATTAGGACGTGAAACATATATTATTATTATTATGTTTGCAGTTGTTTTGCCTGATTTTTTGCGTTACGATTCTCCACCAGATAATACGCCCAATAAATAATATTACATAAGGTGAACGAAAGTGGAAACATTTTTCTGGAATTGGAAAATTTTCTAGTAAAATCCATATAATGAGCAAGAAATGTAGAAATAAATTCTTACAGCAAACATTTCTCATAAAAAGATATAAACATTATTCTATTATAAATAAAGTGCAGTAAGGAGGCTACTATGAAAAAATTTTTTTCATTTTTGACCAGATAGTAAGGCTTTGTGATAAATTATCACAGTCGCTTTTTCCAGCAAGTTATACATCTGAAATCTAGCTAGCACTCTAGCACTCACTGGAAAATTTTTCCTTTTTCTCTCAACACCTATATTATCGGTCTAATTGGCATCACTGACGACTAGGGTGGCAACTTATTGTCAGAGAACCACATAAGGATAGAAGGAGAAGGAGAAATCTCCTAGAAATGCTCAAATTTTACAAAATCCAGTTCTGTGCAAAGGCAGGAGCCGAATCCATGATACTTCAGGTTGAAGCAACATACCATTCAAAAATTCTGCCTCCACTTTCAATAGACATACTTCCGTTAATCTCATAATTTTCTAAATTTTGCAGTAAGCAAAAGGACCTGCATATAGAATCTATCCTTGCTGCTGTCCACCTCGAAAACGGTTGTCGATTATCTGAAAACAAGTGATATCAAGGGTGATTAACGGTCTGATTATCTTTAATTAAGTACTACCGTCGAAAGATCATAAACGGTTTTTTTTGCCAAATTTATAAATGTTTATCAATTTGCTGAATAATTTTTGACAATAAGAAATTTTTCAATTCATCTCATAATTCATACATACAAGTACCTGGATTTTTGCACATAATTTGGCATACCTGCAGTCTTCTTCATTGGATCATATACTTGTTCATGTGTTTCAGCAATGGCGCAGTAGGGCTCCTTATTTGCTAAGAAAACGTCACGTTCAGCTGTCTATATTAGCAGTTTTCATTAGGATTTTATAGATAAGAGAACAAGTCAAAATTTCAAAAATTTACATTACTTAAATTCGGAATTTAATTTAACAGTTCTACGAAATTATCTGAGAAGATAATATTCAATTAAGGATGTGATGAAATCCCCCTCCCCCCCACCTTCCCCAATTTTTTCCATGGATTTAGTCTATTGTTGCATAATTTAATGAAACGTAATCTGTTAGTAAATACTTTCACTTATCAAATATTAATTTTCAACCCCTCGTCTTTTTGAAAATGAAGCACAGTCATTGAACAACTCCTTAAATGTTCTTAATCTTCTTCTCTTCAATTTGAAACCAAATTTGTAGCATCTAAAAAATTTTCGATTACCAAATAAGATAAATATGCTTTATTAAAAGATAATTTTTTTTTCGAGACAATTTTATATTTTCCAAATATTATTAAAACAATAAATGCAAATATAAACTCTTGATTTAAATACGCGCTGCCTTTCCTTCCTGTTCGGTGTTTTTGTTTTGCTAGTTTTTGTTCAATCGCACTATAAAATATTTGCGAAATTAGATTATATAGATGTATGCTGATTTTTAATTGATAAATATCGAAAGTTAACAATCGAAAATTTGCCAATCCACAATAGTTCTTATCATTGGTGATGTTTTTTCCTCAAACAAGAATAATAAAAAATAAAAAAAAAATATTTTCAATAATCTTAATAAGCTCTAAGCGTTTTCCTATTTGATATTTGATTATTTATGCAATTCTATAATACTTTGCAAATCTCACCAAACAATTGCAACTTCGATCAACGAGAGAAAAATAAATCTAAAAATTCAACAAATATAAATTTTTTAAATGTTTGAAAATTTTTTTATAAATATTATTTACGTGAATCTCCATTGATATTTTTCAATTCTAATCTTTCTTAGGAAGATTCAATTCGTAAAAATTTATTAGTTTACAAAAATTGAAAAAATTCTCACCCTGTAGTCATTACCATGTAAATATCAACTGATTTGATATATCCCACTTTGGGCAGTGATTTAGCAATACTTGCATACTGAAATATTTATCTCTCATTAATCGGTTATTATTACTTTAACAATTTATTTGAAATTCTACCTTTTAGCCACTAATTGAAGCGGCTAGAAAGAAAAACAATTATATTTGGGTTTTAATAATATTTTACAAATTTCAGACATTTTTCACCCACCTTTAGGATATGATTAATTGAGAAAACTCTTCTTATATGCTATTTCAAATAAAAAATAAAAATTTTCTTTTCACCCCTTGTGGATGGTATGGGTCATCCTCAACCTCGAGTCCCCTATTACAGGCCTGGGAGATTGAGACAAGGCACATAAGCTTTCAGAGGATCTCGCCTAATGACTTTTATCGGAAAGGTAGAGAGGATTGGCTGCGATTCAAACTTTTGCTGTTACATTGCACATTAATCACTTACTATCAATTGTTCAGCCATTTCTCTTTCATTTAGATTTATTAAATCTAATCTTATTCAACTAGATTTATTTAAAAAAATGAGGTAGAATCCCGTAATCTTACTTGGAATGTTAAAGCCATTAATGAACTGACACCCAAAGTAATTCGAGCTGGTAAGGCCTTGAAATCGATCTAAAATGAAATGAAAGATATAAATGCACTAGCATAGGTTGGCAAATACATTTGTAGAATATAAAAGCCATAGGCTCTTGAAAATGACAAAGAAACAGTCAACTGAAAATATACGAGCTCACTGAATTTAAGGAATCGCATTAAGTGTGGTTTAATTTACAGATTAATCGAAGGAATTTTTTGATCAAAAATGATTAAATTCCAAGGCAAAAACACAAGTAGCTTGAAGAAATAGCCTGAAATCTATCGCATCATCGCGGACAAATTAATTTTCTGAAAATCTTAAAGTACTACAATCTGCAAACCAGGCAGTTGTTCAAAGTTTTGTGCATCTACTAAAAAATTGGATTTGGCTATTACTTTACTGAGAAAAGGGGTAGCAGTAAAGAGACGTAAAAAACCTGATCCCATTGACCAGCAGCATATTCGAAACTATTTTTCTTCCATTCTATTCCATAAAGAGTAAAATCTGCTAATTTTTCCTTGGCAATTGAAAATACCTACAAATTATGCTTTTTATATTTAGTCATTCAACAACGTTGAACGAAAACGATAAATAAAATCGAACTATTCAAAAGAAAAAACAAAAGCACAAAAACGTTAGTGTTAATAAGGTTAATAGCAATTGACATAGAATGGAAACCAACAGTGAAGAAACCAATTGAGATGCGGTGAAGAATTATATTTTATCAAAAGACTGAGGTTACAACTTTAGATAATATTGTCAGTAACCATTAAGGTTAATTTTAATAGAGATAAAGCAGATAATTTCTTAGATAGTTTGCTCTAATTGTTAATGTTTCTGATAAAGAAATTTTGAGGCGAAATAACAGCATCAAAAACAAGTTCATATGGTTAAAAATTTAAGCATAAAATTTATCTCCCTTAAAATTCGAAATAATTGAACTAAATAAAGCCTTCTAATTTCTTCCAAATCTTATTTGATTTTTCTGGTCCTAAGTAATTATAAGTAATTATATGAATTTAATAAATTTATATACATTTATTCTAGCTTTATGACAAATCAGATTTTGTATTTATACTACTAGCTTAATTGTTTATGGGTTGCAAACAGTGTTGTATTCCAGAATTGTATGAATGAATGCTTCATACCTGTTGATAAGAAAATCATCTGATTGGTTTCTGAAGGATGCATAAGACTTAAAAATCTAGAGATTTATTGACAATATTTCTGCAGTATAAGCCAAAGCTGAGATTATCGAAGATTAATTGTCCAAGATCTGAGCAGCTTAGAAAAGGATAATAAGAATAAGGCGGTCGATATATAATGATGTTCGATTTAAACTCGATTTAAATTATCTAATTTACCATATGAAAAATAAATTTCATAATCATCAACCAATAAATAAATGAATTAAAAATATCTTAAGTAATATTATTAGTAAAAATTAAAACGACAAAGGACCACTGCAATTGCACTGAGGCACATCAAGTCTAATTAAAGCAAAATTCCATAGCGCTTTACTGCTTTTATAGGTACGACCTCACAATGCTCTCGTAGATAATCGCGAATGTTAATCGAAAAAATTATCAGCATTATGGTTGAAAGACCAACGATAAGAGGCTAACTGAAAGGTGAAAAGGAAATCAGGTAAAATTTATTTTCGATATACTATGTCTAGATTATGATACTTCTTGCCTTCCTTAGACGAAATATTCTTGAGTCGCTCTACGAAAACGCTTTAGACAATTCTTAAGAAACCTCTAAAAAAGCTGACTGCTTAACGATTATTATAAGAGCCCTCGAGGTCATTTTCAATAAATTTAGAAATTTAGAAATCTTATCTTCTTTTCTTGATAAAAAGGACATATTACTCCACAAAGCATAATAGAGTAGATATAAGATCGTTTAATTTTTAACTTTTGATCAATTGTGGAAGTGGAAGAGAATAGATAACCCCAGTTAATTTTAGCCGTGCAAAAATTCTTAACATTTTAAAAATGTCTGACATGTAAACCAAGTTGATCCTAAGATCTATGCGAATAATATTTACCTAATGCTGGAAAATGGCGCTTGGGTAAAAACGGAATCAATAAGACGATAACATTTTGGAAAATCTGAAAAGCAATGAGCGATTTTAAGAAACCTTCGAATTTCTGACTGCTACCATGAATCGAAGGGATTGAAATTCGGTCAACACATCACGCTTCATTGTGCGGCAATATCGCCGGACGGCGAAACGAAAATAGAGATATAGGATGGCTCAATGAGTACCTACTGAGCACCAATGGTGAGGTTCTACTCTAGGCCGGAATAAACTTATCCTTCAGAAATCTGACTCGCCTGCACTTCTATCTCCAAATGACTCGCTGGTAAAAATTTATTTAGTCCGACAAGTCAGTGGAGCGAGTTTGACCAGAAATGGTGAGCGCCCCTAAAAAAGGAAAAATTACGGATATTATTAATGAAATCCATCTGGAATAAATTTAAACCACTCAAAATTAAAAGCCGAGAAATCTAACACCATAGCCAGAGGGCCTATGAATATAAATAAGAAAAATTTTTTCTGAATTAATATAAAAATCTTCAGTAGAAGTGATCAATACTACTAAATATATATATGTTTACGCTTAAAAGGAATGAAAATAAGGAGAACACCAGTTTTACTGGATTGTTTCAATGGGCATTTCCTATTACTTCGAAACTTGGAAGTTTCATTTTGCTCTGAACGATGTTACACAATGTTGCAATTCTCAATTAAGGGGAAGTCATATGAGAGACACGATTGTCACTATGCCACTTCCATGATTGTGGGAATTTCAGCCTCATAGTTTCCAGGTTTCTCTTTTTCTTTTTTTTTCATTTCCTCATTTATGCTATAACATTGCACAGTTCTCTATTTAATTCCAATTGATATTTGTGAATTCCTTTTTCAAGAATTATTTATTTTCTGAGCAAATCTCCAGTAAACACTTCTTAGGTTAGAATTTTTATTACTATGCAGATGAAAGTCCATTGCAGAGGGCATATCAACTTATATTGCAAGAAATTTTTGATAATTTGCTGGTCAACAAGAATAATCTCTTCTTCTTCGATAGCTTTTTTAGCTTGACTTTGGTTTTTTTAAATGCCATACTATTCTGGGTCAGAGCTTATTCTGGCTTAATAGAAGAAAATCAATCACTATGAAACAGTTATATGACTTTTTGTAAAATAACCTTCATGATCCTGGCTCGAACTTAAGGTTTTGAAAAATAATATAGAGATTGTTAAAGTTCTTCTTCACAAAAAGTAAGCAAATTGTTTTTTTGTTAAAATGTGCAAAAAATATCATAAAAGTATATTTCTATGAATTTCTACGTGAGTATTTGTTGTGAACGCAATGCATTTGTTATGACACAAAAATCTCTTGCTTTCTCTTGAATACGGATTGAAACCTTCTTTTATTTGATTTATCAGTCTCTCATATAAAAAGCTATTAATGTTAAAACATACTGGGTTCCATTCTCTCCAGATCAGCGATACTTTTGCTGCATTATATGAATAACTCTCAATCACCAGTTCACATACCTAAAAATTTGGAACAAATCAGTATTTATCAATAATTGTTCAATGAAAAAAAGCGTAATCTTAAATCAGTTGCCATACACTTCTAAATCTAACCGGGAAGAAGACATATTTCAAATCATATCTTTACTTCAAATTCTTCAAAGGGAAAACAAATTGTTTAAGTGCCCCATCGATACATAACGCATATGGAGTGATTAAGCTATACAATTTGTCTTTTGAAAATCTGCGTGATTCTGGCGTCTCATCTGTACCTTCATCACCAAATAAGTCTCTGGCAAAATTTACTCGATCCGATAAGTCATCAGAGGAAGCCTAATGGTAAGCATTTTTAGAAAAAAAATTCGCACTGCTATTTGTTGGCGCAAAAAGGTTAGGTCCTATTATGAAAATAAGAAGAAATACAAATCACCAACATTATGATAGTATAAGCAAAAATAGTCAAAAAAATTCGTTCATTTACCTGTATATCCATAGGAAAAAGTTCTAAATTCATATCGCATGGTCCTTGCACTTTTAAGCGATAATTGATCTACGAATTTTAACATGGATTATAATAATAATAATATTCAGAGCAAAAGTTAATCACTAAAGGTAAGCAAAGTTATGGGTTATTATGAAATTGGTTGCATGAACAATGAAATCGTCTCGTGGCATGATAAACAATATGTTGCAAATATTTATATCTCGCCAATTCATGAGCTAAATTTGATCCGATTAGTTATTAAAACTAACCCACACGGTTCCATTTGGATAGATCATTAAAAAGATATTTGGACTAGGCGAGGAATGGATGGCAGTTTTTTTCGAATTCACGATGCATACATTTGGTATCCAAATTTTTTCAACCATTTTGTGACCGAGAGTCAAATTTTTTAAACAAGTTGTAAGGTGATCAAAACGAAGACGAGGATCGTGCCAGATCTGACTAAAAAACCCACTTTAAATCCCATTAAAAAAATAGCGGATAAAAATGATTCGTGCTAATGAACTAATGAATCTGTTCGCACTGTTATAAAGCAAATTCACAGGCAAATTTTTGTCAAAGGATAAAAAATCAACGGCTAAAAAACAGTCAAAAATAAGATGAAAATTTTTCTATTGGGTCAATATTTTATGCAATTATAATTTTCCACTTTATCGTAGACTTTCTGAAATTATTCAGTTAATCACTTTCTCATCGTTAAATTATATGTTATAACATATAATTCAACATATTTCATTTCAACGAGTTTTCTACTTGATAAATTATGCCATTATAATGCAGGAAAATATGTCATAAATCGTCTTTTTGGAATTCGAGAAAAATTTATCCATATATCACCGAAAAAAAATTGGTAATTTTGTTTATTTTTCAGATAATTTGGGTAGATGATTTTTATAAATAACGCATTCTTAAGACTCTAATAAAAATGAAACTAAGCCATTGATATATTAACCTGAGAAGCAGATCCATAGTGAAGCTTGATGATATTTCTGAAACTTGACCAATTGATTGTATCACAAATTCGATTGTAACTTTGGTTGTATGTTTTGCAGAAGGCACAGTATTCTTGTTATAACTGCTAGTAAATATACTCTGGATGACCATATGTGACAGAGTTTGGCTATCGCTGTCACTATAATTTCAATACAAACGAAAAGGTGGCTCAAATTGGATTTGAATTACCACTTGAAGATATTTAAATAAGTTAGCTGGAAAAATTCGAGTAAAATTTAGGAATAGACTTATTCGAGTACTAATCATGGCTCTCTATCTACATATATTTGATTCCTTAAATAAATTTCTAGTTTTTACCTTAATTTACTCAAATTTCGACGGAATAATATCGTTAATCAACATCATAAAGCCAATGATACTACTTAAAAAATTAAGAGAGTTTAATCTCATACCGAAAAAGCGTTAATAAATATTATTATCATTAATGAAGCTTTAATAATTTTCCTACTCGCATTTGGCAAAAGGAAGTGCTGTAAAACTTCGAATTGGGATGTTTATATTGTTGATTATTTTCTGTGTTTTTCCACGAACATTGAACGAAGAAAAATTGAATCCACAGAGCCATATAAAAATACAAAAATAGCTTAGGAAGCTCGATCGTTTGTGCATTTCGACTGAAATGAGCCTTTGCCTTAGCCTTTTTTTAACTTGCAAAAAATATCTATTTTCATTAGAATTATGCAAATTCTTATTCATAAGTTGTTTTAAAGCGTTATTTGAAATAAAAAATTAAATACGAAGTTAATGAGCTTTGTTCAGAAAATGATTTATTGCATTCATAATCACTGATCACTTAACTCATGAAAAAGGGATAATTCTTGAGAACACTCCGATTTTTTTCTTTCTAAATATACTTAGAAATCGTTTTTTTTTTAAAGTAATTATGAATTATTGATATTACAAGTCGCATAAATTTTTTTTAATCCTTCTCGATATGGACAATTCTTATCACTAAGAATTTTAAATAATGCACTCAACAATTTTCTTTCAACAACTTCTAAAAGTAAATAATGAATAGATAAGTTTGAACGCCATTTTTGGAGAAGAAATTTCCTTTTTATTCATGCTGGTTATTCAAATTAGCTTGAAATATGATAAAATATATGATTAAAAATTAAGAATGAATAATAGAAATAACATAAAAATAGCAAAAAAGATGTTGGATGGAGATATAATAAGCAGGACGTGGGAATGTTTTTTTTATAAAAGGTGGTATTATCTAAAAAAAAGCACTTAGATTTCTAATAACCATCAGGATGATTCACCAAAAGTTAATAAAGAAAATTTAGTTTGATTTAAAGGCTATCATTTATTAAATTATTTTAACGCGTTGATGGTGGCGAAAAGAAAATATTTCAGTAAAACAGCGATTAAAACCATAGTGTTTGGAAAAAAGCGTAAATATTCAGTGGATTGAAAACTGAAAAATTCTCATTTTAGACTTATTCCTACACTTTCCGAGTGAAAACAATTTGGTACTAATAAGAGTTAAAAGAAGTTATTAAAATATCTATAAAAGTTTCAACAAATGTTGCTTCCCCATTCCTCGTTACATCAAAATATTTAATTCGACACTTATACAATAAAACGAGTTTTCTGATAAAACAATCTGATTTCTACACTTGCAACTTGAACGATAACCATGCCACTTTAATTTCTGGTGAATGGCGAAATGGCAATAAGTCAGTGAAGAATAGCCAATTTTCGGTGGTGACGAAAAAAAAGAATAGTGGTAGAATTCGTTTAATACGATGACTATCGAGCAGTTTTTTCTTGAAATTCAATAAAATTATCGCTAAATTCTATCCAGTGACATGAACATTTACTTTTTGACCATTCACTTTTCTAAAAGATTCCATTCTACTAGTTTTTCTTCCTTTTTAATCAAAAAGCTATGATATAGAGTGATGAAACGCTTAATAAAAGTTGAGACTGAAAATGACAAGTTGATTTTAAGAGAACGACTGGCCGACCAATTGCGCCATTTATTATTTTACGCTCTTATGTTTCCTAAATAGCTTTATCGACCTCCCACGTTTTCAACTTATTGAAATTGGTAATAATTTTCAAAATTTTAGCAAATAAAAAAATACGAAATATAGAAATATTAGTCGTATAATCTAATAGAATTTAAATGTATATAAGTAATAAAAAAGGTAATACAAAAAAAATAAGGAAAGAAAATATATCGAGAGAGTCGTCATATTCTATAATGGCGACGACTGCAGAAGCTTGAGGCTCGAGCCTAAGGCTTAAATTTGTTCTAAGATCCTTTATGTCAAACGCATTATAATAGTGCATCATGCTTTTGCATCTATAGAGGTAGTTCATGCTATAAGAATTTAATCAGAATGATCAAATTAGTCAGAAAAAAATGATGCCTTATAACTAATTTTAAAGGTCCGCCATACAATAAAATCCTTAAAGTCTATGAAAGCTATGGATTATCGACCGCCATACTCTATGTTTCAAAAATTTGAGTAATGAAGTAATAAATTTGAGAAATTTGAGTAAGGACGTTTTTTAACTGGAGTAAACTATCGCAAATGCAAATGTTTTTTCATGGAGGAACTGGTGCGAATGTTCGAAATACGAACAAGCCTGCATTATCCTTACGACCTCTCCGCCACAATTCTCAATTATACAGTATACAATAGGTTGATCATATAGGTCATACGAGACGGTATTCAAGAGGCATGCAAATCCGTCCAAGGTATAATTTCAGAATATTAGACGAATATCGATAAATGGTCTAAATCAAAGTAAATAAGAGGAAGCTCATTATGCCAATTGCTAATGAGGCAGTGATTGCTATAACTTCACCATCAATTTATAGAAGACTTTAAATATCTCGGGTTCACTCTTATAGTTTATGAGAATGTAATGGCTCAGTGGATTGAAATGGAAGAGCGGACGCTGAAGTTCTACTGCCCAAGAAGTAAACTTGCCCAAAAATCCTTATGCTGGCGACTTACTCTGCTTATTGTCTTGTACGACAAACCATCGGAGCGAGTCTAACCAGTAATAATAAGGACTCTTAAAAAAAAAACTCAAACATCCCAAGTCCACTCTTAAATCTAATGGCTCGAGGAATGATAAAGGCTCTACTCGGATAGCTGCAATTAGACTTTCAAGGTCTTTTTGGAATCTCAACGAGAATGAAAGTTTGCATCTATCTATCTTTACTGAACATAATCCTATTCTATTTTCGATAGCCAGTGAGAGCGCGAAATAAAGAGAAGTGCTAGATATCTACCTTTGACCATCCTAAGACACATACATCTATTAAGAAGTTAGAGCTTCACATTGCTGCATTCACTTTCTCTCAACTACCATCCACATTAATATCTCGTTAATTTCTAGTTTAGTTGGTTCCAAAGCGAGTGTGACCTATGAAGACCTCATGCAGTTGGAAGAGCTTTAATTTAGTCACAAGTGGAGTCAACTAAACCAGCAGTGGTACGAGTGAAAAAGTGGAAGAAGAAATAAAATTTTATTAATATATGGCTCATTAACTGCAAGAAGTGTTTGAACTTTGCACAAAAACAGACTTGAAAAATTAATGAAACTCAATCATTGATTAAAGTGCCATCGTCTAAGACTGAGAATAAAATGAAAATCTTGCGTTTTCTACATTTCACCCCGCTTGATTTATTGTAAATGGCGCAAAGAGCCTGGGAAACTTTTACTATTTTTACTATTTAACTTATATGATCAGCATTTCATTTATGTTTTTGCGGGACTCTTGAAGAAATTGATTATAAAAATGATTAAATGATAATGGACCTCTGCAAACTTCTGCCTTTACTTTAAACAATTGGCTAATGAGTAGCCTACATTGGTTTTGAATTCATGGTCTTTAAAATTTAATGTTTAATGCTCAGCTTTCATTTTAATACTTAACATAGTTTTCTCATAAATCATTTTCCTATCTCAATTTCTAACTGCAAGTTTCAATTTTTTCAGGCGTTGGAAAAAAGACTGGTTTCAATCACCGTCAGGAGTGATATCACAGGTAATGCGTAACGCCAAATGAAATTAAGCAAGCCAGAAATGCTGCGTTTCAGAGTGGAAAGAAAGAGGAATATGCTGTTTTATCGATAAAAATCGCGGACTTCATCACAAATCTATCTACGAAAGAATAAATGACCTTTAAGGGTCAGGCAAATCATTTTCCTATGCAATATTGTATATAAATTGACTCTTAAAAATGATTCTTAAAGCTATTTTAGAATCCCTAAATACAAAAATTTTTGTTAGCATATTGTGTGTATTTTATAATTTAGTTGCGCTTGCAATCGTGGCATTCTAATTTTCATTCTTTTTTTAAATAATTATTTTATAATTAAACTATTTTATAATTTATAATGAAACAATAAAACTCAATAATATTTTAATTCATTTATCAAATAAATCTCCTTTTTCAACATTATTTTTTCTTCATTGATTATAGAAAGTGGAGAATTTCTATAACGAATAGAATTTCGAAATCAATAAGAAATAAGTTTTTATTCTATTAAAATTTAAATTTTTGATGAAAAAATTAACAAATATATTTTTAAAAAAATTTTTTTCAATCATCCGTCTGGTTTTATTATTTACAGCGAATTATTTTAAAATGCTTTTTCGTGAGATGAGAAAGAAAATCGTGATTAGCATAGGAATTGCCCGTTATTGTTGACTCGCAAAAAAAAAAAGTTGAAAAGATGTCGCCAAAATGATAATAGCTTTTTCTGTATAGCTTATTCTTAATTTTCTATCGAAGAAGAAAATAATATCAAAATACTGGAATTTCTAAAATAAGCTTAGCGTATGTATTGTAAAATTTTTTCCAATCCACGTTGAATAATGTCTAAACGCGGTTATTCGCCTTTCGTTGCACCGCCAAGCCAATGGTCTTTTAGGTTCTGCATAATCTTCAAATCTTTCTAACTGCATCTTGATTCTCCAAAACCTTTCTCAGAACCTGCTATATCCTATTAATATATTCGAAAATTCATTTAAACTCCCCTAATTTCCATCAAATCTCGCCATATTATTATTTTGCCACATATCATCAGTGGTATTTTGTCAAATTTCTTATCATCGTAATTCCTTATGCATTATTATCCTCCTGATAAGTTCATCAAAACCTACCTTTCAGTATCTTTTAACCATTTTAAGCTTTTCAAACCAATTTGCAGTCTTTTGTTGCCACCCACTACTATTCCATTTCTTAACGATCCATTCGAACCTCTCATAGTTCTTGACTTTGATAAAGATAAATGCGCAACATAGGTAGCTGGGAGATATCGGAAAAATATAATAAAATAAATATAATATAAAATTTAAA